TTTTTAGCGTCTACCAAAAACAAGAATTTTGGATTACGCCACTTCAAATTTAAAGGTTTTTTTTTTAAGATTGAAAGATTACTGGTAGCACAGAGGCCTGTACAGTTTCACCAGAGCAGGTGGGCGAGCAAGGGCTCAGCCTGGAGGGGTGGGATTTGCTAACAGCTACCCGAGCGCCTCCAAAGGAGACATAACAACTCAAGAGTAAAAAGGTGATAAAAGAAATATCACAACTTTTTTTTAAAAATGACCCGTGATGCTTTGACTATATAGAAAAATGATTTCCCTCGCAGTGGCCCCACAAAGATCAACTTATACTAACAAGTTATTCAACTGTGAATTTATTTGAATAGAAAGAGTCTTTGCAGTCTGGTTCGTTCATCTCAAGTGTACCCTATCGTTACGATGCACTCAAAGTCTGTCTAAAGAGTCCTCACAAAATCACTATAAAAGGTTTGATACACAATCATATTTCAAAACGCAAGTCCGACGCGTGATCGATTCTTAATAAAATTGATAGTTAAAATGTTTTTCTGCATTCTGTTTGTTATTTGTTTGACCTGCTGCAATGGTGAGTTATTTATCAGTTCATTAACCATCAGTCAAAGCAGTTCCGCCGTTACCATAGAAACGCAATAGAAGTGATATTGTAAGTTGGCACGCATCATGCCGCTTATTTTTACCGCGAAATTATTCTGTGCTGTTTTTATTTTTATTGCATATTTGGGTGGACGAGCTCACGGCCCACCTGATTATAAGGGGTTACCGGAGCCCATACACATCTATAACGTAAATGCCGCCACCTACCTTGAGATATGAGTTCTAAGTTCTCAGTATACTTAACAACGGCTGCTCACTCTTCAAACAGAAACGCATTACTGCTTTACGGCAGAAAGAGACAGAGTGGTGGTACTCGTGCGGACTCACAAGGCGTTCTACCACAAGTAAAGAGCGTGTGTGAGTATGTGAAGTGTGAGCACCAGTGTTTGAAGAGTGGGGTTGCCGTTTTACATTATACTGGGACTTCGAACTTACGCCTTAAGGTGGGTAGCTTCACTCGCATTGTAAGGTAGGGTTAACTCATCACCAGATGACGCGTGACCTCGTTCAGAATAAATATGCAAAAGAAAACGACTTTTTACTGGTGGTAGGACCTCTTGAGAGTCCGCGCGGGTAGGTACCACCACCCTGCCTATTTCTGCCGTGAAGCAGTAATGCGTTTCGGTTTTAAGGGCCGCACCCGTTGTAACTATACTTGAGACCCTAGAACTTATATCTCAAGGTGGGTGGCGCATTTACGTTGTAGATGTCTATGGGCTCCAGTAACCACTTGACACCAGGTGGGCTGTGAGCTCGTCCACACATTTAAGCAATAAAAAATAAATAAATAAAATATCGAAATAGTGAATGTTTAATATGTAAAACTTACCCAAAAAAAAAATTACAAATTTGAAAGTTTTAAATTTAATCTGACCTCTACATATTTCCTATACGCCACCTCGGCGCCTCGGTCTTTTAAAACGTGATCTATGACATTTTACGAAAGCGAATTCGAATTTGAATAACAATAGAGAGTCAAATACGAATTCTGACATGAATGAAAAATCACCTTTGTTAATTTTTGTAGAAATCACTCCGTACATTTTTGTTGCTTTTATGTTTACTATTGTTCGCCCAATAATGGAAATTCAATCATAATCACTACAATATAAGATTTACATTCATTTTATGTATTACGTTTTCTCTTTGTTCTTTCATTGATATTTTTATTTTTATTTTTTTTATTTAATGGTTCGAGGCTCTTCTTTGACGAATGATTCTGCCAATGTCAAGTAGATAGAATATCAGTGATATAGATAGATGGTAGCAGATGAGATGAATGAGAACGGGAGATAAATTTGTAAATATTTTTACAGTTTAATGTTATTACGGGAAATAAAATAAGCCAATGCATTTACAACTTTAGGATTAGGGAATGTTAAGAGATAGTTCGTAGTAACTGGGAACGGGATGTTAGTGTTAGTTAATAAACAATATAGTGGTGGGCATTCATCATTAAGAGTGCATTCCAGAAAGATATGATCTAAAGTACCGATAGATTTATCGCGAGCTGGAGTCCCGGAAGGCTCTGTCCTCTCACCCCTCCTATTTAGCTTATTCGTTAACGATATTCCCCGGTCGCCGCCGACCCATTTAGCTTTATTCGCCGACGATACAACTGTTTACTATTCCAGTAGAAACAAGTCCCTAATCGCGAAGAAGCTTCAGAGCGCAGCCCTAGCCCTAGGACAGTGGTTCCGAAAATGGCGCATAGACATCAACCCAGCGAAAAGTACTGCGGTGCTATTTCAGAGGGGAAGCTCCACACGGATTTCCTCCCAGATTAGGAGGAGGAATCTCACACCCCCGATTACTCTCTTTAGACAACCCATACCCTGGGCCAGGAAGGTTAAGTACCTGGGCATTACCCTGGATGCATCGATGACATTCCGCCCGCATATAAAATCAGTCCGTGACCGTGCCGCGTTTATTCTCGGTAGACTCTACCCCATGATCTGTAAGCGGAGTAAAATGTCCCTTCGGAACAAGGTGACACTTTACAAAACTTGCATTAGGCCCGTCATGACTTACGCGAGTGTGGTGTTCGCTCACGCGGCCCGCACGCACATAGACACCCTTCAATCTCTACAATCCCGCTTTTGCAGGTTAGCCGTCGGAGCTCCGTGGTTCGTGAGGAACGTTGACCTACACGACGACCTGGGCCTCGAATCTATACAGAAATACATGAAGTCAGCGTCGGAACGGTACTTCGATAAGGCTATGCGTCATGATAATCGCCTTATCGTTGCCGCCGCTGACTACTCCCCGAATCCTGATCACGCAGGAGCCAGTCACCGTCGACGCCCTAGACACGTCCTTACGGATCCATCAGATCCAATAACCTTTGCATTAGACGCCTTCAGCTCTAACACTAGGAGCAGGCTTAGGGACCTCAGTAACCGTACTCGTCGAACTCGACAAAGAGTTCGCCGTGCAACCTAACCCATGATTCAGCTCGCTGAGTTTCTCGCCGGATGTTCTCAGCGGGTCGCGATTCCGATCCGATAGTAGATTCATTCGCGAAGCAGCTACTCTTGAGCTGTTAGGTCTCCTTCGGACGCGCTCGGGTAGCTGTTAGCAAATCCCACCTCTCCTGGCTGAGCCTTTGCTCGCCCACGTGTCCTGGTGAAACTGGAAAGGCCTCCGGGCCACCAGTAATCTTTCAATCATAAAAAAAAAAAAAGATTTATCGCAACTACAGATAGGAGAAGGTTTAATTTTTAGCTTAAATAATGATATTTTTAAAGAAGGAAAATGAATATTTAAAAACACATTTTTTAAATAATATTAAAGTTCGTCAATAGACTAAACAAAAGATAATCAGTTCAGAAATAGATTTGAAAAAGGTACTTGACTGTCTTTGCTTATTTATATTTTAATCTGACAATAAAACCTAGTCGTAATACATTGTGGTAATCACTAATTCTATGAAAAATATCGTTTCTTTAAAACTACGACAACCTTCACGCTTCGATAGTGCTAAGACCTTCCCAGGTGCTCTACTACTATCAACCTTCCTAATATATACCTAATATAATGTATAATACCAACCAATGCCTAATATCAACTGCACCAAGTCTCAACATAATCGCATTAAATTTAGTTTAAGAACGGTTCATTAACGATATCTAATTATTTATACTAGTAAACAATGTCGAAAATGTAATGTAAAAGGCTTCGACCAGTGTGTGCTGACAGTGATGATATATGGCACTAAGGCGTGGACGCTCACAATGGGGCTTATGACAAGGCTGAAGGTCACCCAAAGAGCAATGAAGAGGGCTATGCTTGGAGTTTCCCTACGAGATCAAATCAGAAATGAGGAGATTCGCAGGAAAACCATGGTAGCCAACATAGCCCAAAGCATTGCGACGTTAAAGTGGCATTTTTTAGGGCACATTCGTAGAACGGATGGCGGTTGAGGTCGGAAAGTTCTTGAGAGGCAGCCGCGTACCAGCAGACGTAGCGTGGGTAGGTCTCAGTCTCAGATGGACTGACTCAGACGACCTATTGAGGTTCGCGGGAATCAGCTGGATGCAAGTAATGCAAGACCGATCTTTGTGGCGAGGGAGGCCTATGTCTAGCAGTGGACGTCTCTGGGCTGATAGAATAGAAAAAAACAATGTTTAGACATTTATTTACGTTTTTACAAAGTGCTCAATTTGTTAACGTTCATAATAATGCTAATTACTTAATATAGAACTCTAACTATTTCAAACACAAGAATAAAACTAAGATAAAAATCTCCCATTAGTACAAAAACCAAATTTACATCGTACAGTGTACTCTGATTGATTCGATGGCTTGCGATAAAGCTCTCAGCGCAATTAGTGTTTGAAAAAAATCTACCGACGAGGTCTGATTACTGATGCGGAGATATTCATTTAACTCGATCGCTATCTTCCATTTATTTTCTTCCTTGCCTTTTTACAGCGCACTTCGTTCCCCAGAGATGCACGTACTACAACATAATGTTTTATTCTCGTAGACTTAAAACATTTAATTAGCGCGTAGAATTAAACGTACAAACACAGTATAAACATTTAGGCTGCCAACTATCGGTCCTAGTGAAAATAAAATCATTGGCACGTGCCCAGTATTGAAAGTTTATAGCCGTAGAAAACTTTTGTTGGCAGAATTTATTTTTGACCATTCGTAAACAACGCAACAATTTAGGGTGCTTAGTGCGAGTTTTTTGACGTTCTCGATAGCGTAAAAGTTAACTCAAATTTGTATGGATTTCGAACGTTTGCCTAGCTTTGCCGCTAAGGGCGCTGTACCAACTGCATACAAATTCGAGTTAACTTTTACGCTATCGAGGACGTTAAAACACTCGCACTAAACACACAGATTGTGATTAAAAGGTGTTTAATTCTTAAATCATATCATCAATCATATCATGTCACAGGATTGTGTGTTTAATTTCAGCATTCGTATTGCGTGGGTTCGAGAGCCCGTTTTTAGCACCACGAGTGGTAGGCGGTGTGACTGTACCAGATGGTCGTATCCCTTATCAGGCGTCTCTGCGAACACTCTTCAATTCTCACTTTTGTGGCGGAAGTATCCTTAACGAGAAATGGGTCTTGACTGCCGCGCACTGTACTGTTGGGTGAGTTATTAATACGCTTTTATTAGCTTCAGACGTATGCATGTTAGTATGTAACGGAATCTTTGAACATGATTTTGACACCCTTCAAAACGTCGTATTAACTCGAAATTTGGTACACTTATTAAGGACCGATGACAATACTAAAAAATAAGAAAAAATTGAAATTCAACTAAAAAATGAAAAATAAATAATAGTTTAAATAAACTAACCGAATTCGCTTTTATAGAAAATCCAACTAAAAAATAGTTTGCATGGTATCAGTAGTTATAAATATTTTATGAACAGATATGAGCAAAAGGGTTATCTTATACCTTTAAACGAGCAATGCTTGTATATTAATATATATGTATAATATAATCTAAATCTCGGAAACGGCTTTCGATTTTCGAACGATTTTCATAAAATTTAGTATACAGAGGATTTCGATTATATATATACAAGAATTGCTCGTTTAAAGGTATAAGATTTTTGCAACTAGCCGCTTCAAAGACAAAACAAGATGGCGTTATCAAAAAAAAACCGGTCATCGTCTAGTTTTGATAATATCCTCAAAAGCACCCCACGCTTTTTTACAATAAAATCACTTTTTCTTACACTATCTTTAATTCAAATTCATTAAAATTTATTTTCTATTTTTAGTTGAATTTTCTATAAAAGCGTATTTTGTTAATTTTTTAAACAATTATTTTTTTTAACTTCGAAATCCACATCAATACTACAAAGATAAAACAGTTCAATAACTTTTTCTACTCCGTTTGTCAGCTTTCTTTGTTATTAACGAAATCTAGTATTCAAATTCAAAGTGATTGGAAACGCTTTTGTGGAAAACGTTAAGAATAAAACAAAAGAAAGAGTACATGAATGAGAGCAATATAAAAAAAATCAAAAAACATGAAGTAAATCCAAGTCTTGAGTTGTCAACGATTAGTAATTTTTATCGAAGTACATCGGTTCTCATTATATTTATTATACTAGCGACCCGCCCTCGCTTCGCTTCGGAAACATTAAAACACACATGAAACCAAAAAAAAAAAAAAATTTTTTTTTTAAAAAAAGTAGCCTATGTTCATCAGGGCCAATGTCGGCTTCTAATGGAAAAAGAATTTTTCAAATCGGTCCAGTAGTTTCGGAGCCTATTCGAAACAAACAAACAAAGAAATCTTTCCTCTTTATAATATTAGTATAGATATAGATAATGGAAAATGCTCTGAGCAATTGTCCGAGATTGTGCGTCATTTCCTTTTTACAATGACGCCATCCTCTCACCCGATTTTATCCATGCTACCTGGGACCGCTATGCTCATCCACAATGCGTTTCCAGTCGTCATTTTTGCCATGACATGACGTTGACGGCTTTTTGCTGACGGCTAACGCAGAACCGAGCGTGAATCTTAAAGCGAATCTTTTTACTGGTGGTAAGACCTCTTGTGAGTCCGCATGGGTAGGTACCACCACCCCGCCTATTTCTGCCGTGAAGCAGTAATGCGTTTCGGTTTGAAAGATGGGGCAGCCTTTGTAACTATACTGAGACCTTAGAACTTATATATCAAGGTGGTTGGCGCATTTACGTTGTAGATGTCTATGGGCTCCAGTAACCACTTAAAATCAGGTGGACTGTGAGCTCGTCCTCAAACCAATAAAAAAAATTAAAAAAAGATAAACTTTTACAGCCAATCACATTTGACAATGCAAGTTGTGGTTGGAACAAACAATCTCCACATAGGCGGCGAGCACCACTCCGTCGAGTCGATCATCATACATAGTGACTACAACAGCATGGCCATCAGCAATGACGTCAGCCTGGTGAAGGTATCTAATGACATCGTGTTCAATGATAACGTTCAGTCAATACAACTGCCTGACGATGACACGGACGTCGGAGCTGACGTCATGCTGAGTGGGTGGGGGAGACTTTCGGTGAGTTCTTAATGCTACAACGTTTTTTACTCGGTCAACCATTTTTCTGTCAACTATGATTTCATTGGGTTGCTTTTACTCACTGTACTGTTTCAAAAGATCGTTTTATTGTTCCCATTTTAGGGAGACTAGCGTACGTCCTATGGCATGATAAGTAATCACCCTGGCTCATGGACATCAGCAACGATAGGTACACAGCGAAGCCACTGCCAAATCATGAAAAATTTAAATTTGACGCAACTTAATGTTTTTTTTACGCTTTTTTAGTTTGGCCCTTATTATTCATCTATATGTCTATAATGGAATCTTTCATAGTAATTTTAATTAAATCCAAGACATCCGAAGAACTTTAGAATTTACGCACGCGTTGAGGATCAATGATATTATATTAATTTCATTAGTTTGATCTATGAAATAGCCTTACCAGAATAAAAATTACGACCCTGCTTTTACAGCGTTTTGATTTTATTTTAATTGTAATATACTGTTTAGGTATAATATACTGCTTACGTCAGTAATCAATTTTCTGATACAGTATCCAGGGGTATACCCCAATCACCTGCAAATGCTAAATCTAACATCTCTGAGTGTGGAGCTATGCCAGGATATCTTCGTTGGCATCAACCCTGTATTCTCGACTCAGATATGCGCCATGACCAAGGTTGGAGAAGGAGCATGCCACGTGAGTTCTGGACTTATCTGATTTTTAAGCACATTACTTTTCTTCAGCTATTAATACTATCGCACCATCAACCAGTGAGGCAGACTTTTTTTTCTACCAATGCTGATAGCCTTCAGAGGCTATTTCGGCCTCACCCTAAAGTGTGTAGGTGAGCTCACGGGGCTCAAACCGGAGTGTTGCTAACACTGACCCTAGCAAGAGCAGTGCTTCGCAGAATCTACCACCGGATCGGAAATGCGACCCACTGAGAAAATCCGGCGAGAAGCTCAGTGGGCTGTGTCTATGGGTTAATTCGCTCGTCGAGCCCTTCGTCGCAAGAAATGGGTTCGACGAGGACGGTGACCGGTGCTTGTGGTGCCTAAAATCACCGATAATGGATCAGGAGGATCCGTAATGACGTGCTTTGGGTGATGTCGACGGTTTACCATTTGGTCTACAGGATCGGGTGTGTAGCTTCCAGCGGCCACGACAAGAGGGTTCTCATGTCGTGCCGCCTTCTCGAAGTGGCACAACGATGCCGACTGTAGATACTTACTGATAGAGTCGAGCTCCAGATCATCGTGGAGATCCACGTTCCTCAGGAACCATGGCTGTCCGACCGACGGCTGTCCTGCAGAATCGGAATTGAATAACCTGAAGGGGCTTCAAGTTGATGCGGGCCACGTGAACGAACACTACGCTTGCATACGTCATGACGAGGCGCATGCAAGTTTTGTAGAGAGTTACCTTATTACTGAGGGACAATTTGCTTCGTTTGCAAAGCATAGGGTAGCGACGTCCTAATATAAAGGCGGCACGGTCGCCTACCGTTTTGATATGGGGACAGAATGTCATCCCTCACCCAAACTATTTGGCTTTGGAGTCAATTCCTCTCCTTTTTTATTGGAGATGTGTGGAAAGTCCTTAGCAATAGACAGCGACTAGTCTATTCTGCTACTAGTGTAACTAACTACTCGCCCTTAAATTAACATCAGGTGGGCCGTGTGATCATCTGCCTATCTAAGCAATAAACAATAGGCCTAATCCGCGTGTGCACAAAAGCAATACAAAGAAACAAAAAGCAAATGTCGCGTCGTCCCAAAATCAACAATAGCTCCCGCTTGTAGCAGTATCACACCACTTTTAACTAACGTCTACAGATCAGATCCTTTAGATTTCATTTCTAGTATTGATCGATGAACCACCACGAGTGGTTGAGTCCGTCACGTTTATTCCTGCGGTAAATTAATCGTTTTTTTTTTTATTATTCTTATTCCGGTGCGAAGGCTAGCTATAACAATGCAACTCAACTGTATCGAAATTCTCAGTGGGTGGTGCTTCCCACGCATCTGGCTTGCGGTTCGAGAACTAATCCTTTTTATTATTGCTTAGATGAGTGGTCTAGCTCACTTTTGGCTCGTCTTGTGTTAATTGGTTTCTCGAGCCCATGGAGGTCAACAACGTAGATCACCTTGAGATATCAGTTCTAAGTCTCAGTTTTACAGCATCACTGTTTCACGGCAAAAGTAGATAGCTTGGTAGTACTTACTTCGTGCGGGCTCAAAAAACGCCTTAACATAAAGCCCTCTAACGATAATTTAAAAAAGGAAAGAAAAAAGGAAAAGGAAGGAAAAGATGAAATAAAAAATATGGATATTTTCATTTTATTTCTTGTCATTGATGAATGTTGCCAGGTTAAATATAATGACCTTATAAAGAAGCGTTTAGAATTATCTGCAAAAAAGTTTACTTAAAATACTTCCTTTGCCATTCAAAGTGTTAATTAATAGAAATTCACTCAATATACTGATATCTCTCGACTGTTAGCAAAATATCCTTTAGAAAATTATTTTAAAGAAAACACTGTCTTGTTTTCCAATTGTTTTAAAAAAAATGGTAAATTCAAATCGAGGTGTTTTAATTACAGGGCGATTCTGGTGGTCCGTTGGTGGAAGGAAACACGGTGGTGGGCGTGGTGTCCTGGGGTATGCCCTGTGCTCGTGGCTACCCTGATGTATACTCAAGGGTCTTCGCATTTAAAGACTGGATATTGGAGAAAATGGAACAAAACTAACTTTTTTTTAATATCGGCGACTATCTCGATAAAGTTGCTCTATTAATTGTGTATGAATTTACCGAAGACAGAAAAAAAAATGTATATAAGTGATAAATAAAACATAATATTATTTATTAAAAGAGATGCTGATTTTTTATTTAGCTTCAAATCAAACTAAAGGATATTCTCTGATGCAAGATTTCCAATTCAAACATTTAAAAAAAAACTCGAAGTAATAGTGTTGTCATTCTAGTTCCTCGTGTTTTTTTTTTATTACGGTAAATGGATTCCTGCAATGCCATTGTTGACATAATTAAGGTTATTAACTAAATCATCATTTATTGACATTATGGTATCATTATGGAAGACTGAAGAACTGAAGTCCATGGGCGACGGTAATCATTCACCATCAAGTAAGCCGTATGCTCGTCTGCCTATAAGGGCAATATATTTTTATTTATTAAATTATGCTTTTTGGATACTTAACTCTATTAGTATGCTTACTTTGAAATGTGAGATGGCACGGAATTAAATAAAGTAGATTCTTCTGAAGTATATTAAGTATGAAATGGAAATTGAAAGGAAATAAAATGGAACAAGACATGATGTAATAAAATAAAGTCCCTCTGCCAAGATGGAAATTTACTCAAGGTTTTGGATTTTTTTTTAACGCGGAGAAGACACGACTAGGGTTTTTGCTTTTTATTCCCACCCACACTTGAGCACTTTAGCAAATACCAAATGCTTAATAAGTAAATATCTACTATATAGGTATATAGCGCGTTTAATTGCAATGAAACACCAAATTATTGTTTACACTGTGTTCCCAATATCATTTTGCAGGTTTGCAGAACCCCAAACAGTTTTGAGAAAAACGCAACTCAATCAAATAATACGAACAATGCTTTCAATAAATTAGCTGATTATATTATCAAACTTCAAACTAAAGGAGATGGTCTACTAAAAATTTATTTAATTAAAAAAAATCTGCATGGGCGGCCCTTGAGTTGTTAGATCTCCTTTGGAGGCGCTCGGGCAACTGTTAGCTAGTCCCACCCCTCCTGGCTGAGCCTCTGCTCACCCACCTGTCCTGGTGAAACTCCAGAGGCCTCCGAGCCACCAGTAATCCTTCATTCGTAAGAAAATAAAATAAAAGAAAGGAATAAAATAAAAAAGTTACTAATAAAATTCAAAAGCTACGTTATTCATTATGTTAACTGAAGACTCTACTACCTACCTTCATTTGCAATTCAAACATTAATGTATACGAGAACAATTATTTCATAAACATAATTTCATAATATTACTAAGAAAATTCCATCGCGTTCTTCAAACAAAATTATTCCTTATACAAATATTTTTCGAGCAACATTATTCAAACACTCCCCCTACTTTCTGTGTTATTATACAACAGATAATCTTCAGCTACGTCTCCGCTATCGACTCCACCTTCAACCGAGTGCTATTGAAATTTTTCGGGCTTTCCGATAATCTATTAAAAGACAATATGCGTATTTATTTATTGTATTGTATGTATCGATAACTACACATTTGCGAGTCTTAAGGATGAGAGATGGACCATAAAAATAACATTTTGGAGAGGCCCACTAGGTAAAAGGAACAGAGGTAGACCACTGACTCGTTGGGAAGATGAGATTATAAGGACAGCCGGTCCAAACTGGAAAAAGATCGCACAGGACATAGACAATTGGGCATCATTGGAGGGAGCCTTTACCCAATACGGGATTCTACATAAAACTACCAAAGTATATTAAATTAGTTAAGTGATCATGCTTGTTAATCTTTAATCTCTATATATAAAAATGAATTGCTGTACGTTAGTCTCGCTAAAACTCGAGACGGCTGGACCGATTTGGCTAATTTTGGTCTTGAATTATTTGTGGAAGTCCACAGAAGGTTTAAAAGGTAGATAAATATGAAAATGCTCGGAATTAAATAAAAATAACAATTTTGTTTTTCCTTTGACGTTTCCCCCGTCGGACGGATTCCTTTTGTTTGTTTTAAGTTTATTTTATACAAAAGTTTAGGTCTTTTATTTATCGATTGAGGCACTACGAAGTCTGCCGGGTCAGCTAGTAACTGTTAAATTATTTAGTAGGAAATAAAAGGCTTATTATTGTTATTATAACTACACATTCAAAATTGTTGCGGGAAGTCGTTAGATGCGGAAGGCGGAGGACCGCATTATTTGGAAGGCATTGGGGAAGGCCTATGTCCAGCAGTGGGCAGATAAAGGCTGATGATGATGATGATTCAAAATTATTCCTTAATCAACTAATGCCAATCGTTAAAAGATTTTTAATCGTTAGGACTCAGGCGGACCGGCATTTTCAATTTCAAATGAAACTAAATAATTCTCTCAGCTTGAGGCCATGGGCTCATCTACTAGTCCGTGAATAGTTTGAATAGCCTCTTAAGCTACCAACGAATAGGTAGAGAAAAAACATGTAAAAAACGTAAATATAACCCTAACGTAAATTTAAGTTTATGGCTAATAATAAATGTAATGTTACTTGCTGGGGTTCGAGATAAATATGATGATGATTGATGAACAAAACTCTTTTTTTTATTGCTTAGATGGGTGGACGAGGTTTTTTATTTCTTAGATGGGTGGACCAGGTGGGCTGTGAGCCCACCTGGTGTTAAGTGTAAGTAAGTTACTGGAGCCCATAGACGTCTACGACGTAAATGCGCCTCTCACCATGAGATATAAGTTCTAAGGTCTCAGTATAGTTACAATGGCTGCCCCGCCCTTCAAACCGAAACGCATTACTGCTTCACGGCAGAAATAGGCAGGGTGGTGGTACCTACCCGCGCGGAGTCACAAGAGGTCCTACCACCAGTAAAACTTGTATGAAAGACGAGCTTGTACTTGGATATATGAGGGCGTCAGCGCAAAAGTGGCCTAAGCTTGCCATAGTTAATATAGAGATAACGAGGCTTGAATTTTTTACTTTTATACTGCTCCGTAGGCAAAAACAATACGCGCAAAAACAATGCTTACAAATCCATTAGGGTGAAATTTCACGGCCACTTTTGCGCTGACGGCCTCATATGTAGGTATTTAAGAAAATCGTCTCATCTTTCGTAATGCGTAATTTTTACAGCCCACAACAGAGGCTACTGTTGTAACCTTCTTTTCCATATTCTATTATCTGAATGAAAGCCAAGTTGGCGTCCAAAATGCTGGGAGTCCTCAACAGAGCGAAGCGGTATTTCACGCCTGGACAAAGACTTTTGCTTTATAAAGCACAAGTCCGGCCTCGCGTGGAGTACTGTTCCCATCTCTGGGCCGGGGCTCCCAAATACCAGCTTCTTCCATTTGACTCCATACAGAGGAGGGCCGTTCGAATCGTCGATAATCCCATTCTCGCGGATCGTTTGGAACCTTTGGGTCTGCGGAGGGACTTCGGTTCCCTCTGTATTTTGTACCGAATGTTCCATGGGGAGTGCTCTGAGGAATTGTTCGAGATGATACCGGCATCTCGTTTTTACCATCGCACCGCCCGCCACCGGAGTAGAGTTCATCCATACTACCTGGAGCCACTGCGGTCATCGACAGTGCGTTTCCAGAGGTCTTTTCTGCCACGTACCATCCGGCTATGGAATGAGCTCCCCTCCACGGTGTTTCCCGAGCGCTATGACATGTCCTTCTTTAAAAGAGGCTTGTGGAGAGTATTAAGCGATAGGCAGCGGCTTGGCTCTGCCCCTGGCATTGCTGAAGTCCATGGGCGACGGTAACCACTCACCATCAGGTGGGCCGTATGCACGTCTGCCTACAAGGGCAATAAAAAAAAAAAAAAAACTTCGAAAACATTGTCATTTTACTACCTATCATTATTATATCTTACGTTATCTATATATTAATACGTGAAGCAAAAACTTTGTATCCCTTTTTACGAAAATTGCGCGGACGGAGGGGTATGAAATTTTCCACACTTATAGAGAGTATAGAGAAGAAGTGCACAATGCTAATATTTTTTTTAAATAATGCATAAATATACATTAAATCAATAAAGAAAACATTACACATACTACATACCATGTATTTAACACACACACACGCATGCTTATTATTTATTGTCAAACTTTGTTCTTGACGTCTGTTGTCAAATTGAGAATAGATTAAATATTTTTTGTCTTTATTAATATTTTTTATAGTGTAGTCTTGGCGGAATTCGTATAAAATAGAATCATAATAGTGTACAAACTTACAATTCCAATTAATTATAGTCGAATTTCGACTACTGCGGGACCTCTAGTTTGATTTGTACTTCGAACACATTGTCATTTTACTACCTATCATTATTATATCTTACGCCTTAAAAACCTTGTTTTATTATCGCTACCTCATGCATACATAGCTAAATAAATTTGTAATAACATAGTAATTGTATAGCGTTAGTATGAAGGAACGTGACTTTAATTTAGAATTCAATGTAAAAACGTTTCCTTTTACAATGGGCGTTAACTGGAAACTATTCGTAATATCCCAGTCTATTTTTACTGTTATTACGAACATAATATTATTATATCCATTAAAGGATTGATAAGTGCATCTCCTTGGAGCTATTCGGAGACAATGAAGCCTCAATAGAGTCGTTTCCAACCAAATGGAACGGACGTAATTACTTTTACAATTTACGATACGATTTTCTTTTTTTACGAATGGGTTTTGTGTGGTTTTTATACTTCGTTTAGCGTTTATAAGATTTTAACCAGATGATGACCGCAGTTAGTTGCTCTCAATTAAGAGAAATAGTATTATTATTCGCCAATAGATGTCGGGAAGAGTCATAAAGTTGATTATCGATAAAGTTGATTATTGAAAACACGAATAAAACATTTTCTGAAAATAAATCGTAGCTAGATCGAATTATCGCCCCCGAAATCTTCTGTATATTAAATTTTATGAAAATCGTTGGAGCCGTTTCCGAGATTCAGACTATATATAGCAATGAGCGATGCACCGGTGTTTGAATCCCGCAGGCGGGTACCAATTTTTCTAATGAAATACGTACTTAACAAATGTTTACGATTGACTTCCACGGTGAACGAATAACA